TGTGGGAGCTGCCTTCGTCACGCGAGACCCTCGTCCACGGCGACTACGACGGCTTCACCACGGGCGATGTGCACAGACGGCAGCCGCCTCTGCGGCGCCTACGCGGCCTTGTGCTGAGGAGGTTGGTCTTTCGCGCAGCTGACGGAGGTCCCGAGCTGAAGCTGGCGGTCCACGACCGCTCCCAGGCGCACAGTGGGACCAAGACCTCTACAAACGCGAGTTGCTGGTTGTGCTGCGCGTCCTCCAGTTTGCTTGTCCGCCCCGTCACGTCTGTCCTGACTGCCAGGCCTCCCTGGACGGCTTCGCGCGCGACCCCGCTTGGGCTGCACACCCTGCCACCCTGCACAGCGACTTGTGGCGGAAGTGCTGGGCGAAGACCGAGGAAAAGGGGAAGAGGGCCACGGGGAGGGAGTCTTAGCAAAGTGTAGGCGCACGCCACTAGATTGCAGCGGGCCCAACTTGGCCCCTCGCGTTTCATAGGGATACATTCGCCGACGTATATGCCAAGCTTGGAGCCAGGCAGCAACAGCAAGCGCAATGGCACCGAGCTGCGTACATACAGCGTTTTGAACTCGTTTCAGGTATGTTCGAGTTCGCAGCCTATGTAGGGGTATTTGGGCAAGGGCCCGTTGACACCTCCTAAGGTTCGGAACTTCCCACACAGGCTCCGAACCTTCCCAGCCCCCCCGACCCCGAGCCGAGCGGGAACGTGGAGGAGCCTGCGTGACCTCTACCTCCGCCGCCTGGCCCCCCCTTTTCCCCCGTGGAGCTGGTGGACGGGGACGGAGGTAGGACCGAACGGGCCCGCGCCGAGGGCCACCAGTTGGTGCGCTTCCCAAGGGTAGCATTATGTCGGTCACGCGCCAGGTGCGCCAAGGACCGATGGATCGGACTTCTGGCCAGTTGCCCGAGGGGGACTCCCCGGACGATCCCTGGACGCTGAAACCGTCTGTGACAAGGAGGGCGCCCCACCACGACCAAGCCGTTCTGGCTGTGCCCCCACGGTACCGCCGAGGAGAGGCCCGGGGTGAGGGAAGAGGCACACGTTCAGGCAGCATGCACCCCTGCGGTGGTCCCTGCTAACATCGCGGCGCTAATCTTCCCTCTTCCTCCTCCTCCTCCACCTCCTCCTCCACCTCCTCCTCCGCCTCCTCCTCCACCTCCTCCACCTCCTCCTCCTCCTCATCATCATCACCATCATCCGCCTCCTCCTCCTCCTCCTCCTCCTCCTCCTCCTCCTCCTCCTCCTCCTCCTCCTCCTCCTCCTCCTCCCGTAGGACACGCCCCGTCCGATGCGGTGCGGGTTGACAATGGTCCTTCTCCTGCCTCTTCTCCGCCGCCGCCGCCTCCTCCATCATCCTTTTTGTCACTACCACTCCGTGTAAGTAGCTTCCCCGCGCCGCGCCCCCCAGGCGCGTCGGCATCGCGAACTGGGCGGTTCATTTGAGTCTTCCTCACCAATCATGATCCTGAAGCTTGAAATCCACAGCCGTTTCACGGATTGAGGGCGGCCCGTGTTCAAAATGCATATTATGCCGTAGCGCCGCGCATACTCTTTTCTAAAAGTGCGCAGCAACAGTTGGAGTGAGGGACCGGCCGTTTTGAGAATGTGGCGTTCGCCTAAGCTCCGCGCGCAGTCGTTTCAGGAGTTTGCGGCTGCTTCAAGGATTGAAGGTGTGTCGTTGTCAAAATGGAACTGTCGGTTCAGCGTCGCGCACGTTCGTCTCACGATTTTGCAACAGGTTCAAGGGTGAATGGTGGTTGTCTCAACCTGTAGCTGTCGCAAAAAAACAACAAAACAACAAAAAAATGCCACACACACACACACATTCGTCTTCAAAGCCCGCAAACAGTTCACAGGGTTCGTGGCGCTGCCCATGAGTGGCGTTCTGGGACGGCTTAAGACTGTCAGGACGCAGCACCAATTTTGATTCCCAGCGTTGAAGTCCCAGTAACGGCAATTTGGAACGATTGAGAATTCTCAGACGGATGTTCTTCAATGAGGCACTTCACGCAACGAAGCGAAATTGCAGTACGGACTTATGAAGAGGGAACTTGGAGGGAGGTTTTGCTGCAACACCGTCGATGCGTCTTGGGCGTACACCAGTATTCCTCCTCCTTGTCCTCCTCCACCGCCTCCACTTCCCCCTCCAGGAAGACAGCGCTCAGCCAGGATAGGGCGGCCCGTCTCATGAAGGCCCGCGAGCGGCTGGGCTGGCTGCGCCGAAGAGGTTCGTCCGTCGGTCCGTGCCTTCTCCCCGTCCCCCTTCCCCGTCCTCCTCCTCCTCTTCCTCCTCCTCTTCCTCCTCCTCCTCTTCCTCCTCCTCCTCCTCTTCCTCCTCCTCCTCATCCTCCTCCTCCTCGTCGTCCTCCTCCTGTTCGTCCTCCTCCTCCTCCTCCTGATCCTCCTCCTCCTCCTTTTCCTCCTCTTCCTCCTCGTCCTCCTCCTCCTCCTTCTCATCCTCCTCCTCCTCCTCCTCCTCCTCCTCCTCCTCCTCTTCCTCCTCCTCCTCCTCCCACTCCTCCTCCTCCTCCTCCTCCTCCTCTTCCTCCTTCTCCCTCTTTACGTTCGGGCAGGTATTTCCATCTCTCTGGTCTTCTGGCGGTGGTCCTAGAGATTGAGGGCCAACGTTTTCTGAGATAAGTTGGCTTATGTTGCCGACATGTCGGGTTCCGGGTAGTCAGCGTTTCCGTCGTCCACATCCTGAGTGTTCTTGATCGTTCTTCCTCCAGGGAAGAAGCGCTCGGCCAGGAGAAGGCAGTCCGTCTCATGGAGGCCCGCGCACGGACTCTGCAGGAGGCCTCTCGCCATTCCAGGTATATTCCTCCACTAGCTGGGCGATGTCACTAAGGAGTTTCGTCAGTCGGTTTGCGTCTCCTCCTCCTCTTCCTCCTCCTTCTCCTCATCCTCATCCTCCTCTCGTAGGCCCGTCTCCTTCTCCTTCTCCTCCTCCTCATTATCCTCATTTCCCCCTTGCGTTGCCACTGTGGCGCAAGATGCCCGTTAACCCTGGCAGAGCACGGACTCCCTCGGTCCAGGGCCAGTTTCGGACCACAGTTTCCGCTTTCCTCGCGCCTGCGTGGATGAGATTCATGTCCGTTGTCACCGCATTCGTTTTGCTGTTAGCATACATATCTGACGCAGCGGGGTCGGATTTGGCGTGGCGGTGCGTGGCGGCCAGAAAAGCATGCATCCCCAAGGGAACACCCCTGCGAGTGGACGTTCCAGTGGCCGCGAACGCTCTCCTCGCAAAGATCCATGGCACGACGCCGCCAAGCACGGCATCAAGAACGAATCCAAGCCAGAATCCGACGCTCCACTTCAAGCCCAAGCCGCAGAAGCAGCATCAAGGTTCGAGACCACGGCCAAGGGCGTCACGGCCGACGCGCTGCGGAAGTTCACAGAAGCAGCCAACGGCATCACGGACACGCTCTCCAGGCGCCATACGAACAGCGAGCGCGACTTCCACGCCATCAGGCAGCGCATGGAATCTTGAGAACGCATCGGAGAATGCTTACGCCAGTGTGCCGCCACCATACAGTCAGTCAGCTGTTGCACAGGCAGAAGCACAAGCGCATGCGCTAAATCTGGATAACATCGACGCGCGGGACAGTAACCCTCACATCGGAACGTTATGGTGCGGTTCTTCCTTGGAAATCGACAAAGCGCCAGGCGAAGTGGCTCTCCGTCCATTGGCAGAGGCCGCAGGTGTCATCCCGACCACCGCACACTTCAACAGCACAGCCCCCCATCAAGCGGGTCTCCGGCACGCTTTCTGGCGGAGACGCAGTGGCCGTACCTCGCGGATACAGTTCTACACAAACGCCCCCGTGTTGGTCGAGAACGGCGCACCTGCGATGTCGAGTCCGACGGGATGCGATTCTCGCGGCACGCCAGCGCCGACAAGTCACCCCACAAGGAACGACAATCAGTTCAGCTCGAAAAGTTCCACAAGCCCATCACCGACAAGGCCCCCCCTTGGCACTGCCCCGTGTTCATCGTTCAGAAGATATTTCTTTTCCAAGGGAGACACTTCCAGTTGCATTATCTTCGGCGAGCAGCCATCAGAAGCACAGCGGTCAGACGCGCCTGTTGGATTGGGGCCCCCCAGCGACATCAAGGATGGAATTGGCGAAAAATCGCGAGTTCCTTCGCGAACCCGCCGAAGGCAGCATCGTGGCTGTAGCAGCAAGTGGGCCCCGCGGGGCAAACGCCACGCTGGCGGCCCTAGCATCGCCCCCCGGCTCGCGCAAGCCATCCCCAGCAAGTCCTTCAGCCGCTGCAGCATCGAGCGCCTCGCCCTGGTTCCCCCCACTTCCGCCAGGAGGCTCTTATCGCCCTGCAAAAGACCCTGGCACCCATGCCGAGCTCGCAAACTTCGCCAACTCCACCGAGCACAGCTTCCTTGCATGCCACAGCGGCATCCCCGATAACGACTCCTCGGGCGGGTTTGGCTCCCCAGCTCCAATCGAGAATGAGAAGACGCCCGCGCGCGACCCGGGCTCTGCCAATCCCATCATTCAGTTCCACCGCGCGGTAGATGGACGCATCTCATCTGCCCCGATCACGGACCCCGCGGATGCATGCGCCATTGCGGTCTCTAACGTCCACAACCGCGATCTCACCCGTGAAACCGCGCTCTTGTCCAACAGCGGCGGCGGCAATCTCTCCGGCAGGCCCGCTGCGAGACCGATCGCTGCGCGACATTCTTAGTTGGGGACTTCCATCTGAGCGCCCTGCCCGCGGCCTTGCCAGACCGCTGGCTGGCGTCGGCTCCGAGAGCTGCCAGCGCCAGCCCACTTCCTGGAAGGGCGTCTTCAAGTGCGCGGCGGAGACCCACGTGCTCGCCGCCGCGCGCACGTGCCCCGCAGGCCAGACGGAGGCCGCGATCGACAGGTCATTCACACCCATCGAAGCGCACAACACCCAGCGCGTCGGAACTCACCTCGTCGTCGACAGCCAGCCCATTCAATGAATGGGGATCCAGTCCGTCTTCGAGTCCAAGTTCCACGGCCACGACCGCAAGAAGCTCGCCGACCTCGCGGACACCGACCCCGTCGACCCCGTCGCGCGCTGGCGGGCCACGAAGAGCAGCATCGCCCGCGCCGCCGCCGACGCGCGCGACGCAAGGCTGAAGGCCCACCCTCTAGCCCCCAAGTCGGGGCACGCCGCCACATCGAAGGATGCGACCTCCATAGTGATGCGCGGCGTCGCTAAGGCGGTCCGGCGCCAGGACCCCGTTCCAGGGCGGCGCCTGATTCAGGATGCCACGCTCGATCAAACGCGCGCTCAGATTGCGAGCGCCCCCCCGGGCACCCCCAGCCGCGCGATGGTCGAGCGGAAGAATGCCGACGTCTTCGCCACCTCGGCGACCGCTGCTCGCGCCGCGGTCACTGACGGGTCTCGGGCAGCAGATCGAGCGCGTCAGCGTCAAGTGGGAGATCGCCGGCGGCAGCGCGCCAGCACGGAACGCCGACGCAATGAATTGTGGATGTTTTCCCCGAGACGACTGGCACTGACAGGAATTCGCATTTCAAGCGGGGGTCAACGCCACACGGTAAAAGATCCCACGCGCACGCGCACCGCCACCCAGGCTCACTGAGCCCTCCGCGTTCGAGACCCACACGGCCAACGCCGCGGAGGTTAACAACGACCTCGGTCAAGTCCCCCCTCTGCACCAACTCCGCGACGTCGCGCCCACAGGCCCCGACGACCTCCTCGCTGCTGCCGAGCGCAGCGAGACAATTCGTAGTCGACAGGGGTCAGGCCATTGCCTGATCTTGGTCCAATCAGTTTCCGTTCGATCCGCGCGCGACGTCGATTTGACACAGCCCACATGGCTTTCGCCGCGCCGCGCGTCTCTGTCGCGCGCGTATCAGCCCGCCCTCGGGGGGGGGGGGGCGGGGGCAAAATTGGTTGATCGCAGATCTCACTCACGAGCGCTGACGACCAAGACTTGCCATCTCCGCGAAACTGCCCGTTCTCGAGGTGCGTCTGGCCGCAACGTTGGACGCCTTCCTTTTGTTGGCCCAATCTGGTCGGCGGTGGGACCGCCCCGCGGAGCGCGCCCAGGCCTGGCCCACCATGGTTCCCACAGCTACATGTCCAGAGAGTTGCTTGCCGGAGCTGCAATGACGTTCTAGTCCATTGCGAGCTCGACTACCCAAGCGACAGCAGCACTCCAGCCTAAATTTGCCTGGGCTCGCCTGCGCGTCGCCGATTGGGCGGAGAAAAGAGAACCTAAACTTACAATTTCAAAACCAAACGGAGCAGCGGGCTTCTGCCGCTGACTCGCGGATTCGCAGCGCTGGCAAGTTTGCCAGAATCAAATACAAATGCGACCAGCGCGGCCGCCTCTGTCGCTCGCGCAGGCTTGGTTCTGAAATCCCCCCGCCCTCTGGGCAGGCGTCGCCTCGACCGCCTTCCCCGATGGCCCTGGCCATCCCAGAAGGGCGCCCCCCCTTGCCCTGCCCCCTGCCGGGCGCTTCAAACTGGCCCCTGCCCCCCCCCCCCCCCCTCTTCCCACTCAACATATGGCTACAGGCTTTTGTTAATCAGCTGCCCGGGAGATCGGGCCCCCCCCCCCATGCGAGTAGTTTTTCGCCCCAGATCCATGTCCGACGGCCCCCGAGGCCCCAGGGCCCCACCCCGAGACCGAATCGACAAGATTCACATTGGCATCGAGCTTCAACGCCAACTGGGCTTGGAAAGACATTGTCGGCACGGCGCGGCATTCTCCTCGCATTACGGAAAACCAAACACGGCACGTCAATTCTTCGCATTCTGAAAACACAGCACCGCTAATTGTTCGCATCTTGCCAGCCAGGCATAGCGCGGCACAGCAGTCGCTTCGCACTTCAGAAACCAAGCGCAGCACAACACAGCACGCCAAGCTTTCCGGTTTCTGTAAACCGGGAGCGGCACGGCAATTTTCTTGCATTCTAGGAACCGAGCAGGGCGCAGCACGGCACACCATGCGGGCAGAGCACGGCATTCGAGCCCTGCGCCGTATGGCCCGGCACATTTTTCGCAGGAGCCAAGCACGGCACAGCAAGCATGGCACGGCACGGCAATTCTTCACGCTTTTACACCCAAACACGGCACGTCACGTGGGAACGGCACGGCAAGCGGCCATGGCGCGGCCAGCCGATTTCTTTAAGTCTGAACACGAGAATTACCCTCACCCTCTTACGGCAACCGTGACCCTTGACGACATTCGCCGCTTTGGGCCAAAAGCGCCCCGACCCTCAGGCGTTCCGAAACGTTCCCAGGTGCCCCCTTGCGCCCTTGCGTTCCCATGCGCGCCCGCGCGCTCGCGAGTGCTTTTGGGCGTTCTCATGGGTTCCGAGTGCACCGCATGCGCTCCGAGGCCCTCCTGGCCTGGACCCTTCCGCGCCCGATTCCAGAACTTGTCCTCCTCCCCCTCGCCTTCATCCGCATCGCTTTCGTCCGCGTCGCCCTCCCCCGCCTCACCCTCCCTGTTAGCCCTCTGTCTGCGAGGGCCGCCAGCCTCGCGGCGCCCCCACACGCCGCCGAGGCCGCGACCCGCCGCGCCAGCCGCGCAGCAGGGCAGCGCCGCCGCCGCGGCGCGCGCCGAGCTGGCGATTCTGCGGGAGGACGCCCTCGCCCTCCTCTTCCTCCTCCTCCTCGCCCTCCTGCTCCTCGCCGTCCTGTGTCTCCTCCTCCTCCTCCTCCTTTTCCTCCTCCTCCTCCTCGTTTTTCTCCTCCCCTCCCTCCTCCTCCTCCTCCTCCTCCTCCTCCTCCTCCTCCTCCTCCTCCTCATGTTGTTCCTCCTCCTCCTCCTCCTTCTCCTCCTCCTCCTCCTCCTCCTCCTCCTCCCTGTTCCTCCTCCTCCTCCTTTTTCTCCTCGTCCTCCTTCTCATCAGCATCATCCTCATCATAATCAGCATCAGCAGTATCAGCATCATTATCATCATCATCAGCAGCATCATCATCGTCATCATCATCGTCATCGTAATCGTCATCTTAAGTATCGTCACCATCATCGTCATTATCGCCATCATAATCAGCAGCAGCAGCATCATCATCTCGTCCTCATTCTCAACCCCATCCTCATCCTCATCCTCACCCTCATCCTCATCCCTCCCTCTCTCCCTCCTTTCCTCCCTCCCTCCGGTCCCTCCCTCCCTCCCTCACTCCCCCCTTCCTCCGCTTCCTCCTCCTCCTCCTCCTCCTCCTCTCCTCCTCCTCCTCCTCCTCCTCCTCCTCCTTCTGCTCCTCCTCATTATCATCATCCCCCTTCTTCTCCTCCTCCTCCTCCTCCTCCTCCTCCTCCTCCTCCTCATCCTCCTCATCCTCACTCCTCCTCCTCCTCCTGCTCCTCCTCCTCCTCCTCCTCCTCCTCCTCCTCCTCCTCCTCCTCCCACTCGTCCTGTTCCTTCTCCTCCTCCTCCTCCTCCTCCTTTTCCTCCTTTTCCTCCTCCTCCTCCTCCTTCTCCTCCTCCTCCTCCTCCTCCTCCTCCTCCTCCTCTTCCTCCTCCTCCTCCTCCTCCTCCTCCTCCTCCTCCTCCTCCTCCCCCTCCTCCACAATTACTCAATATGAAGGGGTCGCCGTTGTTTGGCCCGAGCGTCGACGCATATCTCCTCATTGTATAACAGTAAAAGCCCCGCAGTATACATCTGATTGTCGCCATGCTTTGTCTCGTCCAGGTTCCACCCCCCCGTAATTCTGGTAGCGGAGCTGGGAGCGATCCCAGCTCGCAATCCACGGAACGTGCGAAGAGTGCGGTGTGGACGCGCATTCGCAGTTGTTTTCACCTCCGCATCTGTACCACCCTCCATTCCTTGAGTAGCCTGTATATGTGGCTGTTCCGCAAGCCCACCGGCAATTCGCCTCGGGCATCCGGTCCGACTGCGGGGGCAACAGCAGAAGGCGTAACCTCGATGAGGAGCGATTCGCCCACAGGAGCATCACGACGTTCTTCGACCCATCGCAACCCCACAGGCACTGGCCGCAGCTTCGCGTCGGGCGTGACTGCGAGGCTCCATCCTGGGCTAGCGCCGTGCCGCGGTACGTGTGCGATAGTGCTGGTTGTATTTGGGAGCATATCGCACCACCCGAGCGGAACACTGCAAGTCAATGTACTGGGTTCACCGATCTCGGCTTCGACAAAGGTTGACAACGACATCATCATCATGGTTGTCCCGCACTTCAACATGGCGTTCGTCACTGCGCAGGCCCAAGTCCCAAGGCGCCTACGTAGCCATCATCGTGGTGAGGTCTTACCGAGGAGGATATCAATATTGACGCTTTGGGGCAGCATCCTCGTGTTCTTCTCACCAGCATGATGCCTGGTGGAGCTGGCCCACAGGGCGGCGGCGGCCGCGGTGCCATCGCATCCCGCCAGCCGCCCTCATGGTCACCCGAGCGCGAGTCCGTGCACTTTTCCGCCACTGGATACAGGATTTGCTCGCTTGGAGCGTGCTAGCCATCAACATGGACAGTGCTCAACAATGCGCTGCCATCACCCTCAACCTCGGCGGGGCCGCCCGCGAGCTCACGCGCTCCATTAGTTCCACAGAGATGACGGAGATGTGCATGTTCAAGGGCCAGCAAGAGGACTCGCGACCCACCACATCGCGAACCTCGCCACTCAGTCCAGTCCACTAGGCGAGGAGTCGCGCCTCCAGGCAACCCGCGAACACTTCGGATTCTCGAGGCGACGCAACGAAACCACCGACGCGCTGCTCTCGCGGTTTCTCGCACTGCGAGTCCGAGCTACGCACAACGGTGGAGCGGCGATGTCGTGGGAAGGCTACAGCCAGCCGGTCCTCCAAGCGGTCGATGTCACAGATAGCCAACTCATGACACTGCTCCAGCCGCACGGCAACCGATACCCAGCCACAGAAGCCGAGTTCAACAGTCCCACGACAAAGCTCAGGCGCGCGGGCCACACCATGGAGCGCGCATCAAATAACATCGCCAGCGCCCTTCGTCATCGTTCGGATGATTCGTGAGCCTAACAAAGAACAGCAGCAGCGATAGTATACATGACCCCTGGCACTCAAGGTCTCAACCCCTGGGCTGCCAACGCCGCCGAGCTTCCTGGAACGGGGGGTGCCCTGACGCGCCCTACTGCCCCGTCGCAGAGCGCCGCTGCGCCGCGGGCAACGCGCCCCGCCGCCGCGCGGGCGCCCGCGCACGCGGCCGACTGCGAAAGCGGGGCCCCCCTCCCCTGACACAGGCGCGGCGAAGACGCATGAGCCGTCTTAGTCGCGAGGCATGTAAATTCATCCAGGAAGAAACAACAAACAGCACCTTTCTCCAGAAAAAGTCAGGGGCAAAGGCGAGGCCCCCCCGAAGTACGCATTCCTCATTGGACTCTCAGAAACCCAAGTAAATCAGGTTTTCTTCCGTGGAAGGGGCAAGACATTGGCGAGCGCTCGCCGGGCAAAGGCGACGGCAGACGCCGCGCTCCGCAAGGTTGCGACGGGGCCGCCGCGACGCGCGGCACCTGCGCGAGCGAGTGCCACTGCCGCGCTGAGCGCCCACAAGGCACCGCATCACCACCGCAGGGCAGCGGCAGCAGCGGCCAGTTCGGAAGCCACGCATACTCCGGACCTATAGACGGCTCCCTGGACCCCAGTCCTCTTGCCGGGACCTCTGGAGTTGCCCTCGCGGTCACTGCGGGCCCACCTCAGC